TGCAAATTGCTTCGACAGAAATCTACGACAGGATGGACGATTTTGGGTTTCCATTATATATTGTTGTCGTTATTAATTTGTCATTATTGAGTTCATTGTTATATTAACAAATTTATTGTAATAAGAATTTAATTACCCGAGTTTGAGGTATTATCAGTCAAAGAGGCAGGAAAAAAACCCCTCATTGTCACGGTTGAAGAAAATCAGCGACAGTGTCAATCAGACAAATTCAATGACAATATCAATAAAAAAAGGGGAGCCCAAATTAAGCCTCATATTTCAACCAATAGACCTAGCCTCATATACATTTGTAAAATGAAATGGTGCTCAGGACTCCTCGCTTCCTCGAGTATGAGAGTCCTGTAATGTTTAAGATTACAAGAATTAGCATCTTTATGGAGCGCATATTGGGCATGGCGCTTTTTGTTAGCGTAAATGTACTGTTCCTTTGTTTCCACTCGTGATACAGACAAAAGGTATTTATTATTCTGTAAGATCTGCGCTGTAAGATCTGTAAGATCTGCGTAAAGCTGTAAGATCTGCGCGCCATTAAAAAAGTGTGAAGTCAATCAAAAAATTAGGCCTAACCATCGAAGAGTAAATCATGAGTGAAAAGCAATAGCAAGTGACCACAGCTGGCGGAGGAGGGAGTGCGTTTGGCATAGTGTGACTAATTTCGGTAATGTCTGCCTGAACCAAGTGTTTTATTTTAAAATATAATGGCGATATCTATTTTTACATCATGAAGCGTTTCTTTTGCATTAATTTTGAGATGATTCGTTTTTCATTTGATTTCAAAGAGTGAAATGTCGAAGAGCACATTTAACGAGCAAAGACTATTTTTGCGGTTGGATCGATCCAAAGTACATTTTAGTATCCTCCAAATATATTATTTCCTGTCGAAGACATCGTTACCCACTCCAGCAAGCGTTTGATAGTTGGGATCAAATGTTCCTACGATAAAAAATCACATGAGTTCAGCGAAGTTTATTTACTATTATTAGGAAGAAGCACTGGAAGACTGGAATAAGGAGAATTTTTTCAATGATGAAAGTAGAGACAATGAAAAAATGATTAAAGGTTTCTAATATGGAAAATATGAATGAAAATTCAAGTCCTCGGAGATTTAGGAAGGATGAACAGATATTTTGGTCATCCCGAAAATATATTCATAAAACTTACCAGCTATACCACCTTGCTCTGGAGCTTTAGGTACTGCACCTCCTGCACCACCTGGAGGGATGCCACCACCACCTTTATCTCCAAAGACGTCATTTCCAAGACCAGCCATTGTTTGATAATTTGGGTCGTAGGTTCCTGAAATAATTAGAAGTTTAATTAAGTGCTTAGCTTATTGAAGAAAATATGTTCGTAAAAATACTTTTGTAATGTTTTAGGGTAGTTCCAAGGGTTTCAGAAGTAATTGAAAAAGGTGCTTGTATATGCGTAGGTGTTAAGAAACTTTTCAAGCCTGAAGTCTCTGGTTTTCATTAACTCAGCGAAGAGATTTGTTTATAACTAATTCGTAGAAACTGTAAGCGCTTTGAAAAGCAATCTATCTTACCAGCGATGCCACCTTGAGCTGGAGCCATTGGTCCGTTAGCAACTGGTACAGCGGGGGAAGCACCACCTCCTCCACCTGCACCTCCTTTGTCAGCACCGAAAACATCATTTCCTAATCCGGCCATAGTCTGCAGATTTTTTAGTTTATTCAGCAGATATCAATGGCTGTTTTTCGATATACTAAAACTCTTTATCTTTTACTCTAATTCTTCTGAAAAATCTACTCCATCTAAAAATATTTTGGAATATTATTTACAAAATTTTAAAGTGTTATTATCATTAAACCAAGTGCTGCAGTATATTACCAATGAACGCCCAGAAAAGTTACCCATGACTCTAATTACTCAGGACAAACGTGGCACCTGATAGTTTGGATCAAAGGTCCCAGCTATTCCTCCCTGAGCTGGTGCTTTAACGGCGCCACCACCAGGAACTGCAGCTGCATTACCTTCTCTATTTTCTTTTGCTGCAGTATCTAAACATGAGTTTTTACTAGTTAAACAAGGGAGTATCAATTTGAAGGAATTAAAAGTAATTGGAAAATTTTACAACCAATTTTTACTAGTTTATGTGAGAGCAAATACCGGACTGTCACTAGATGTGCCAAACTAAAATGACAACACTATTCTCAAGCTAGTTCTTATGTGACCATGTATTTGGTTGGTCAGTTTTCTTTATTATGCTCGCAATCGGTGTCTTAGTTTTGCTATGGATGTAATAGGTAAGATTTAGATTGTGGTTCGATTTTTCAATATTGGGTAAATGCACTGATTGTATTTGGGAGTTTTGTTCTTTTCTGATAACCTGACCTGTAACTGGAAAGAAAAGATTAGGGTCCAACTTCACACCTGCATTATGGTTTAGTAAATATTGGTGGTTCTTGAACCTCAAAAGCTTTGTAAGGACGAAATGGCAAAAAAGATTTTGCTGTGATTTCGTAATCTGTGTTTCCCTCTCTGATTTCAGTCCATTTCTTCGATTTTTTTTTTTTTTTAGTAAAGCCAAAATTACCGGAGAGAGGAGGAGAACCGGTATTAGCAAGAGAGAAATAGAAATCACCTCTTTAAGAAAAAAAGAGAAATTACCTTTTTTATCTTTACCTTTGCCCTTCTTATTTTCTTTTTTCTTCTAGAAATTAACTTTTTCTTTCAAAATCTTGGTATCAAATTTCGATATTCGATTCTGGTACTCAATATTTTAATACTCAACAATAAAAAAACCAAACCAAAAGTGAAAATCTGACTTCATCTTCCTCAAAAAATTTCATGATCCGTCTAAATGACAAATACTTGAGAAATTGTTTGAACCCGTTAAAATTTCGAAATTTTGTATTGGCTTTTCAAGAATAAGAAAAAAATCGAAAATCCCGGACCTTTTTAGAGGAGCAACCAGATATAGAATTAAAATTGACAAACGCCACGATCATTAACATCATTGTCCACAGAAACGAAAAAATGATTTCATCCATTGCCACCCACTTTTACCTGAAACAATAGCTTTTGTCTACGTTTTTTCAAATTAAAGTTTTCAGACTTTAAACTTGGTTTATTTCCCAAAAATTTGATTATTACATTGAATTTGAACTTAGTTATCATTAACTTTAAAAATGTCATTGAGCTGAGCTTATAATTCGAATTACCTGCGAATTCTAAAACATATATACGAATACCACTCTATTCTCAACAAATATATTTTTCGTGCGCCAACTTGCAGTGCAAATATCAGTGATAACCTTTAACAGCTTTCAATTTGTTTGAACTCTGCTGATCACGTTCAAATAAATAGTTAATGGCGTTGTTTTGAAGGCAACTGCTTGATAGAAGTCCAGAATTAACAAATATACATCAGCTGCTAATTGACGAACAATATAACTGCAAACTTCCAAGAAAATTTAAATACTTTGCTAGTCAAATTTAAATATTTACTCTAGTGACATAGAATTAGATGTTGCCAGGCTTCGACATAAGGATCGTCGGTTCTTTTTGTTTAAATAAGCAACAAATGTACAAACTGCTACCGCTGGGCTTCAAAGCGAATCAGATGAATGGATAGGTGAAATGATATGAAGCCCGGAGTTATAAACATCTTTCGATAAACTCCCCCCAATAGCTAAAGCTTTGAGATAAAATCGTGAGGTACTTATTTGTCCTCGAAATTTGCATAATTCACTCCTATTCTGCTTCATCCATCAAACAAAGCGATAAAAAGTGAGGAGAAAGCGTATGCAACAAATTATTAAAAAAGTAAAATATACCTTTTTCCTTTCACTTCACCCTATCTTTCCTGTAAACCATTATCTTTCAGGATTTAAGGACAAGCCAAAATAATTTCGATCATATGTTATTAGTGTCAGTACTAGTAGATTTTATCTGTTAAACAGAGATACAAATCCATCATTTTACCCTAGAGTAGAAGCTCCGCTGAAAGCCCGACTGAAAATGAATTGCTACAATTTCCAATGTCAACAGACAAGAAAAATTAAACTTGGCCATGATAAATTTCTGATATCGGATGTAATCACTTTTCCGGTTTGAAGAATGAATGCATTGGTTCACTAGGTAAATATAAAGTTTTATTGATGTTCAATGTAATAAATGAACTAGAATTAATGTGTGGAGGACAAGCCTCATGAAATTATCTATAAAAAAGCATTGATCAGGAAGAACAATATTTTGACTGATATAATCACATAATCATTCCCCGTCTAAAATTGCATACATTCTCTTTCAATCAACCAGAAATTCATTGGTTCAACGGAATTTTGATTTGGCTAGCTGTTTAGGGATTCCAGCAATGATACCTGATTCGATTCCACACTCGTTGACACCACGGAGAATACGGAAATAACCTGGAAATATTTTTGCAGGTTGCGTTGCAAACTTGTGAAGGGTTCCATCTATTGGGAAATGTTTTTGCACTCACTGGAGTAAATAAATTTAGAACTGGATAATACATAATTGCAACAAATTCTTTACAATATCCAGTAAATGATAGTAAGTACCACTCAGTCCAGTTTGGTCTAAGTTGATTTGATTTTGGTAATTAAATTAGAGCTGAATTCAAGTCATGAACGAGTTTAAATCCAATTAAGTTCATTTTTTGAATCTCAATGGCATAAATTAAGAAAACTGAAAAAATTTTAAAAACACGAAAAATACAAAAACGGAATTTAAACGCACTCTTCGATATTCTGCCTTTTTTTTTAAAAAAAAGAATGAAATTGAAAGCTGACTCACCATCTTCTCCCCAATCAGTGTTCCACGAATTAGCAGCCAACCAGTATGGTACTCCCTGATCAATACCCCAACCAAGTACTTTTACAGCATGTCCACCACCCATGGATCCCGCTACATGCTGAACATTATACATTGATTTTTTTAAAGTGTATCACAGCAACGGATTTTATTGAAAGTAAATACTGACTACGATACAATTCGGTGCGCTACGAACTACAAAACAATATGAATGCTTCTTCAAAATGAGCAAAACGTGTCATGTTCCTACATAAAATATCCATAAGGGATCTGGAAAATATGTGAAAACTGTCAAGTAACAAAATGGAGAAATGATAGTTGCAGGAGTTTTACATAAATTAAGCCAAATGAATTAGAAATCACAACATGATTTCTTTATTCTTTGGATAATGACTGCTATTAATCATAAGTTGAACACAAAAAACGTTATCAGTTCGAGTATCAAGCCAAAATTAGTTCGCAAAAGAATTTTCTTTTTCTTTTTTTTTTACACCAACTCTTCTGCTTTAGACATTAGAAAAGCTTCATTATTAAAAAAATGAATCATGCCTCCTAAATTTAATACTTCAAGTTTTTAAATCCCCTGAACTATTCTTTCGAATTCAAGAATGAATCTAAAACATAAAACAAACAAAACAGGTTGCTTTCAAAATTAATTCATCTGAATCGTCTAACTTATCCCGCTTAAGAATAGGTATAACGAGTGAGCCAAAACTGAGCTCGAAAGATCTGGCTATTAGACCGAAAGCACTAATATGTCAACTTCTTTTATAAAACTTCGCAACTTCAAAATAACCTTGTAAATCCCGCCGGTATAATATAGAAAATCAGTGTACACTTCAAAAGAAGCTTCAACCGGACCCAACGTCATGATTTCCTTCTGGATCGATTCTACATTGCTTTCAACGTTGTAAACCTGTTCCCCTGCAAGTTTTAATATTATAATTAAACTATATCACACAAGTCTGACTATTCAAATCACTTAATACATGGTTATTAATTTTTGACAGTTTTCCTTACGATATTCAAGGTCTAACGGACTGTCAGCTGAAAAAAAGGTAAAACTAAGTGAATGCGAAGTCCGAAATAGAACTTTGATTGATCTTCAATTTTTTTTTATTGTTGCTTAATTTCAAAGTCCACGAACACTCATGAATTCGAGGAAACTCCACGAGTAGATTATACTTGCGAACCAACTAATCAATCAACAAATCACTGTTTGAGCCTCTGAGAGATCCCAGAGAGTATCGCTATCATCGATTATGTTCCTCATCGACTCGGTAATGAATGGATACAGACTGACCGTAATATTTGTCGGCTTTGTACGACTTCCCGTAGTTTTTATCACACTTTTTAACGCATTTCGGCGTTGGGTAGAGGTCATGTTTACATGGTTCATAGTGCGTCTTATTGTTGTGATGTTCGCACGGAGGAAATGGATAAGGTCTGCAGCCACTGTGATTCGTATATTCACTCCCCGTAACAATACCTCTCAAAACCCAGTATTTCCACGCTGCCATCGGTTCACCGCCAAAACAGCTGCAAGGTATAAATACTAATATATTTCTTAACCGGACAGTTATTCAGATTTACGAGAAAGATTTCAGAATAGGATGTCTATTTTGGATTACTGGATAAATTGATGATAAATTCTGGCATTCATCAAGTGTTACAGACAGTTAGACAATTAAGAAGGAATGGTTACTACTCAGGAATTAATTGCTCTCCTAGCAGTTGCCCTATGACCTCGAATAACTGAAGACGAACTGAAAAAAGAAAAAGGTGAATGAATATGAAATCTGAAATAAAAAATGCAGCAATTTACCCAAAACCACAGGTTTTGCAGCAGCTCAGAAGATCATCCGCTGAAAGTGTTACTTGTTTCTTTCCCTTCGACATAATGCAAATCCGATCTGACATCGCTTCCACAGCAGCTACTGCCCAACATGAACCTGAACTACTTTTCAAAATATAGATATCAAATATTTGGAGCATCTGCG